AAGCAAATAACCTGTCTACCTAATGCCTAGGCCAGCTATATTCACCCTAAATAAACACAATTCTTCTGATTCCTCTAACAGATTTTTAGTGGGAAACTGCATTGGCATTGCAATAACATGATTTCAGATGGTTGAAGTTGTCTTAATTTCAAAATAGGCCAATTCTCAGGCAGTTTTCTTGGTTGGTGATGTTACCATTTTCTCCATGTGAACCTGTATGGTGCTGTGGTTGTTGATCACAGTATCAGAAATTTCATGAGGAGAGCCAGCCTCTTTACAAGGTACAAACCAAGTTGCCCAAGGAACTCTGGAGGAAAAGTGGTTTGTCCTCACACTCCATAGCATCAGTCATTAACTTGCCAACAGACTCACACATAGACAAAAGCCATATGTAATACAATCCCTGACCTAAAGGAAAATCTCGTGGGGACTTGTAATGAATTTAAATATTCAAGTGCCAGTGTGTGAACTACCAGCAATCATGCACCAATTAAGACAAATTTATTCAACAATACTATGTTAGAGATTTTAAGGGACACCAAAAAAATAAAATATAAGACCTTCTCCTTTAAAGAATAGGCAAATTGGAAGACAAATTTACAAAAACACAAGATAGCAGTATGTTATGTTATGGAAAGCAGACAAGTTCCACACCCTGATAGACCGGTCTAGGTTCAAATTCAGGTCTGCGTGCCACTTGTCAGTGGTACCAACTTTTGATCTTCTGTTTTCTTTCTTTATATTTGGTTTTATCATTTTGCCTTTTATATGTAAGTCTTTAGTGAGGTTGAGTTAAAAAAATTTTATTCTCTAATTACAGTTTACATTCAATAGTATTTTGTATTAGTTTCAAGTGTACAGCATAGGGGTTGTCAATCATATACTTTACAAAGTGGTCCCCCTGATATGTCTAGTGCCCACCTGGCACCATACATAGTTATTATAGTATTATTAACTATATTCTCTATGCTGTACAATCTTCCATTTTCTTATCTATAAAATGAGAATATTACCTACTCTTAAGGTTGTTACAAGAATGAGTGGGAGGATTGGTGGCAGGATAGAAATAATTATTTTTGTGTTATGAGAAATATTTGTAAAACCCCTTCTATAATTCTAAGAGCAAATTTAGCCTCTACTGGGTGGGCCAGTAGATGGGAGTAAAGAATGAAAACTGAGAGAGTGAAATTGCTTATGGAAGAAAAGGGAGAACTAGAGAGTGTCCCTGTGTGTTGGGGAGTAGGAGGTGGGGGGTTATGTCTAGACAACTTAGAATCATGTTGAGAAGAACTTTGAAAGCCAGATGAAAGCCAAACAAAGAGTTTGTATTTGAGGTAGTAAGCAGTCAGAAGCTTTAGGAAGATTTTGACAAAGAATATTTAATCATGGACATTTTGTTTAAAGAATTGATTCTTTGTGTTATGAAAAGTGATAATTGAGCAGTACTGTAAAGAGTAGAAACTATTATTATTATTTTATGAGCATATTAAGTGTCAGTTACCATCCTAGACAGTAGGGATGTGGCATGAAAAAATAGACAATACTCCCTTCCTCATAATGCTTCTATTGTAGTGGGAAAAATGAGACAATAGACAAGACAAATAAATAAAATATGTTGCATGGTAGGTAATGGTAAGTACCAAGGAGCAAAATAAAACAGAGGAAGTAGATAGGAAGTGCCAGTATTGGGTGTGGTGAGGGTGAGATTCAATTTTGTGTAGAGAGGGCAAGAAAGGCCTGATGGGATGTTTGAGGAAAGACTAGGAAAAAAATAGGGTACAAACAAATCAACAGCAAATATCTCAAAGACCTTGGTGGTGGGGTCTAGTAACTGAAAGATTAAAATTATTATAAAATAATAATCCAGGGGTCCCTGGATGCTTGTGGAAGAGTGGGTGGAGAAAAGAAATGGAGGGCGTGGAATGAGAACAATGAAGGCTGGAGAGGCAACTGGGCTCAGTAATGGTGTAGCTTTCTTTTACCTGTGTTATATTTTCACAGAATTTACATTAGTTGATATTATATTACATAACTATCTTTTTTTATTGATTTCATATCTTTTATTTTCCCTTTGATTGAAAATAAGCTCCAAAAAGGCAGGACTTTGTCTCTTCACTGTAATAGTGTCTGACCTATACTGGCAATCAATTTTATTGAATAAATTAATGAATGAAAGGGAGGAGCCTAGAACGTAATGTTAACTGTGGAAGAGTGAAAACAGAAAGGGCCGTAGAGATCGCCAGGAAGGCATTTACTTGTCTGGTAGATTCTATGGGTCTTCGATGGTAATATATGCTTGGGGTAGAAGTTGAGGGACAAAGAAATCAAAGAAAAGAAACCAGATGAAATGATATCAATCAGTTTTTTAAGTTTTCTTAACAACAGTTGAATCAACTAAGGGTTATTAAGCTGACTGTGTATGTTCTTTTTCCTTTAACTTATTTACGATGTATTTACCCTCTTAAGTAGATACTTCACAAAATCGAGTTTGTGGTATAATGCCGATCCATTGCGTCCCTTGGGGAACTGACAAATCCCTCTCTGCTCCTTATTAACACACTTTTAATTAAGGTATTGAAAACCCCATGTTAAGACTTAACTATAACCTCATTTACAGTGTGGGAGGTAAAAATCTTAGAAAAAGCATATCCCTAAACTGCAGAGTATGAAATGGAGTTAAGCCTAGGTGACTGGAGAGCATTTTTGTAATGAAATGGAGTAATGTGAAAGAGCTTTGTAATAGTAGCAATATACACAGTGTCATTGAAAAGATAACTAACTGCTTATATTCTTGTCTCAGCATGAAAAATTCAGACCTTCAAAGCTACAAGTACATTGTAATAGAAGGGAGCATCCTAGGAACTGATATTTACATGGTGTTATTTAAAAGGAAAACTGTAGGCTGTGAATTATTTATTGAAAGTCTATAAACATTTCTATGCCAAAGAATAAAGAAAATACTGAAAAGGAAAAGAAAAGAAGGAAATTGCTCTTGCAATAGAGATGGTAAAGCTTTGTATAAGCAACATTTTGGGGGTGAAGGGATATATCTGATCCTCATAAAAACAGCCTTCAAGAGGCAGAGCTCAGATCAGAGAACTAAACAATAAAATGCAAAAGTAATTTTATGAGACTGTGTTAATAGCACCACCAAGAGAAGTTCCCTGCTGGGAGTACTGTCATTTTTATTGATCTTGGCTACTTGCATCTTGTCTGTTTTTCATCATAAGAAAGATTTCACCAAAGGAAATGAACGTCCTGAGCAGGATCATCATGGATGATAACAAAGTGGTTTTAACTTAAGGCATTTATATAGTTCCTCTTGTAAGCTTATCTTGTGTTTGCTGCCAACTGTTGTGGGAAATAGCCCATGCTGCTTATAAACTGGTCAAAAAAATATTTATTTCAAAGCTCGAAACTCCTAACAAAGTATGCAGATTTCTCTTATATATTAACACATCATAAGAGAACTAAATTTCATGATATACCAGAAATAAATAAGACATAATATTTTAACATCATTTTGCAAAATAAACTTTTAAAAATATGTGCACTTTTTCTTTCTAGAGCATGAATTCATTTACAGTATAAGTACAAAAATATTTTGTTATAGACAAAAGTAGCTTAGAAACAGTTTTATTCATTTGCCTTAGCCCATAAGGCTTTTCTTTCCCTTGATTTGGATAAAATAGAAAATGGTGCTGTCAGCCAGCTTTGTGGTTCTTTTGTTGTTAAGCCACAAGTGTGCCCACTTCACTTGCTCTCTCACAGAGCACAGTTTCCAGAATGCCATGTAAGATATATGGCTGTGTTTCCCAAGAGAGGAGAAGAGGAAGCTTGGTAGCCTCTCTCCCCCACATTTTGTTTAGCATGGTGGGGAAGGAGTGAAAGGTAAATATATGCACAGTGGGCAAGCTCCAGAAACTGACAGCTCCACACCTTCCCCTAGGTAACGGGAATGGGGAACATGGCTGTCATGGTGTGTGTTCACAGGTCTTCAGATCAAGGAGCAAACAGGAGCTTTTGCCTTACCTCTACCATTGCCACTTTCCTTTTCTATAGCCCGTTCCCCAACCTTCTCACAGATTTACAAAATACGTAATATGGGGAGCTTTTTGGGTCTGTTTTCCTGAAGGACATAAAACTAACATAACACTCTCACCTAAAGAAATACATTCCCAACATGTAAGTTGGTTTTGTATGAGCCTTATGGAATGGATCTTACAGGATTCCCAAAGTGATGACCTGGCTGCCAAATGGCAACCCCCAACTCTCCCAACCCCTTGTGCCCTCCCACTTCCAATATCACACACACACACACACACACACACACACACCCCTCTCACTCTCAAGTGCCACCAACAAACACTTCTGGCTGCTGGACTCAACACATTAAGGCTCAGTAACTCCTTTTAGACAGATTTACTGTGATTCTGTCAAAAGACAGGTGTCCCTCCCCTCAACATTCCAGGAATGCTTCCTGTCCCCAACCCCACATTTTTCCCCACTATGCTTTGGGGCCTCACACCCTAGGCTCCAACCTCCTTAATGTTTTCATTGTACTGCTGTTGAGTTCATACCCTGTGTCTGCTCTGTAGCATTCAGAGGTGTGATACGTCTCTTCAAAACAGCAGAGACTCCTTTGTTGGTCCTGGTGAATCAGATAGTTGGCTCATTTGTTACAGTCATGGTTACACCTATGTGAGATATGCATTTTTGAAAATATATGTACAAATATTGGTAGAATGTGAACATCCCTTTAAAGAAGTGATAAAGGTAAATATGACAGTTGTAATGCAATCATCCCTGTGATGCCCACCAGTATAATTTTCTACACTATGTTTGACTGCCTCCCTTCATAGCATGCATGTAACACTGTAGTCCTGGCAATGCTGTGGTCCATCCTCTGATGTAGGCATTGATGTTCAGGGTCATTTTCGCAACCTATAATATGTTCAATGTTTTTGTACAGCTCTAAATAAAGTGCTTTGTTTTTTCAGATTTTAGATCAGGGTGACAAGAATGTTTTATTGAAACAAGAAAAAAAAGAAGATTCTCTTATGAAAAAAGGTAAAAAAAGTTCAGTTTATATATATTAGCTATGTTTGAGTTGTTCTCAATATGACTATGTGACATATCTTACGTGGAACATAGATCAGAAGTTCGGCAGCACCAGTTTGGATTTTAAAATATTAAATTTGTCATTATGGCAGTGGGAGGAGGGGTGAGTAGAGATCTACCAACTGCATGTTTTGAAGGGACAGAGAGATACCTCCTGCCTGAGAACAGTGCCCCCAATACTGCCACCATGACTGAAAGACCCAATAGTAGACATATATTACCCTTTACATTGAATTTTACTTCATAATGTGCTGAGGATTCATATCAGGTCTATAGTTGTAGAATCCATTTGCAAATTATAATGGCACTCTCTGAACCTACAATTGTGAAATTCTCTGAGTGACATGACTGACTAGATGACTCTAGGTCTCTTCCTGTCTTAAGGTTAGACTCTCTACTGAAAACAGATTTTAGATTGAGATCTATTAAGATGTTTTTGAACCTGAATTCAGAATGGAATAAATAAGCATACTATAGGGAGAAAGGCTGGTGAGAGAAGGGAATCTGAACAGTCCCAATCAAGTAACCCCATGTACAACAATAGCAGAAAATAAGCATCCTTAAAAAGATGATAAAATGTTATTATAAATTGCCTTGAGAGTGTATTGATGCAGTTTCACAAAAGGATGTTTGAATACAAAGCCAAATTGTGTAACTAGTTAATGAACCAGTAACACTTCTTTCAGTTTATTATGTGATCATCAAAAGTGACTGTCTTCATTTTGTGTACGGTCTTTTGAAGAAAAACAGGAGCTGTGCAGCGATACTACAGAAATAAAGAAAAATTCTTCATTACCTAACTGGAAAAGGTAAGTGTACTGCAATTATACAAAATCCAAGTGGGTGAAATTATAGTGTTGGAAAGTAATTATCAGTGTTTAAATACAAGAAGAAAGAAAATAATAGCAACAAGCAAAGGCAATTAAGAATAGAACCAAATTTTACAAAGGAGACAAGAAAGAATAGAACACACTAATTTTTTTGCTTTTCTGCCAAACCTTTTCATTTTCTTTTGTGAGGATTTGGGAATAATAAAATAGAACAGGCTTCACTTCCTACTCACAGCAAGCAACTAATTCACATTGCTGTAATGTAGTCCAAGAATGGAAAATGTCACATACATAAGGTATGACTATGAAATCATGAACTGATTTTTTTGTGTCCTTCATTATCTAATTGTCACACATGTATGCAATTATAATAATAGTTGCATGCTAGAATTTTCTTGACATGAGACTTTTATGACTTTCAAGTAAAATCAGCTGAATATTTTCATTGCCTGATGGAATGAAAAGAATTTTTTCAAGGAAGCAAACTCTTAACCCTTGCTCTACTACAAACCTATCTAAGATGCTTTTCAGACAATCAGACCCAGTGTCGGTGAATCCACATTCCCGGCTCGTTGTTGCACAGGAGTAATTGAAGTAAGTGCAATAAATGCTCCCAACAGGAGCATTTATGTTTCTGAACATGCTGACAGAGTAATCACTCTAACACTCACATTCCATCACTTCACTCTTCTGTTCGAAAACCTTTCACAGCCCTGTCACTGTCAAGATAAATTATAAACTTTTTAGCATGGCACAAGTCCCCTTCATGGAAAGGAAGAATTAACATCATTAAAGTGTCATATTACACAAAGCAATCTATAGATTCAACACAATTCCTATCAAGATACTAATGATGCATTTCACAGAACTAGAACAAATATTTCAAAAGTTTATATGGAGCCACAAAAGATCCTGTATAGCAATAGAGATCCTGAGAAAGAAGAACAAAGTTGGAGGGATCACACTACGTAATATCAAACTATACTATAAGTCCATGGTAATCAAAACAGCATGGTACTGGCATAAAAACAGACACATAGATCAGTGGAACAGAATAGAGAACCTAGAAATAAACTCATATCTTCAGAGTCAATTAACATTTGACAGAGGAAGCAAGCATATACAATGGACTAAAAATAGTTTATTAAATAAATGGTGTTGGGAAAATTGGACATATACATGCAGAAAAATGAAACTAGACCACCTTAAACCACACACAAGAATAAATTCAAAATGGATTAAAGACTTTAAATATTGGACTGGAGACCATAAAAATCCTAGAGAAAACATAGGCAGTTAAATCTCAGACATTGCTCATAGCACTTTTTTTTTTCTAATATATCTCCTCAGGCAAGGGAAACAAAAGGAAAAATAAACAAATGGGACTACATCAAACTAAAAAGATTTTGCACAGTAAAGGATATCATCAACAAAATAAAAAGACAACCCAGAATGGGAGACCATATTCACCAATACATCTGCTAAGGGGTTAATATCCAAAATTTTTAAAGTATTTACAAAACTCAACATCAAAAAAATAAACCCAATTAAAAAATGGACAAAGGACCTGAATAGACACTTCTCCAAAGAGGACATACAGATGGCCAAAAGACATATGAAAAGATACTCAACATCATTAATCATCACAGAAACACAAATTAATACCACAATAAGGTATTTTCTCATGCTTGTCAGAATGACTATCACCAATAAATCAACAAACAACAAGCACTGATGAGGATGTGGAGAAAGGAGACCCTTTTACATTGTTGGTGGGAATGCAGACTGGTGCAACCACTGTGGAAAGCAGTACGGAGATACTTAAAAAAAATGGATCTACCTTTCAACCTAGTTATCCTACTTCTGCGAATGTATCCGAAGGAACTCAAAACATTAATTTGAAAGAAGTTAAGCACCCCTAGGTTCATTGCAGCATTATTTATCATCTTCAAGTGTCCATCAGTAGATGGGTGGATAAAACAACTATGGGACATTTGCACAATGGAATTCTACTCTGCCGTGTAATAGAATAGAAAATTTTACCCTTTGCTGCAGCATGGATGGACCTGGAGAACATTATGCTAAGTGCAATAAGCCAGTCAGAGAAAGACAAATACCATATGATTTCAATCATATGTGGAATCTAATGGACAAAACGAACAAGGGAAATGGAGACAGACTCATGAATGGGAAGCAGGATGATAGCTAGGGGTGCAGGGGGAGATTAAGGGATGGAGGGATTGAGCAAACGGAAAAAGGACTCATGGACATGAACAACAGTGTAGAGATTTCTGTGGGAAGGAGTAAAAGGGAACTAAATGGTAATGGAAAAAATACAACAAAGATTATTTAAAAAATAAACCATTGAATTGTACGCTTAAGTCAGGTGAATTTTATGTCATGTAAATAATATCTCAATCAAGGTTTTTTAAAAAAGAAATGAATGTATTGTTATACACAACAACAGTAATAAATCCCAAGGTAATTTCTGAATGAAAAAAAGCCAGAGGCAAAACAAAACCAAAAAAGCCTATAGCCCCGTTATTGTTAAGATGAGTTGTAAACTCCTTAGCATTGCACAAGTCCCCTTCACTCCTGGCTCATTCTCTCTGGTGCCAAGTTTATTTCTCAGAGTTTCTGAACACCTCTGTTTTCATTCCACACTACTTCCTTTATTTGAACACCCTCTGAAACTTGTAGACCAGTTTGTAAACTTTCGTTGAACTGTCAGTTTGAGTGTTCTCTCTTTTGGGGTCCCTGACTCTCCCCGGTAATTGACTTATTCACAGAGCTTCTGTCACAATGATTATATTACATTATTGAAGTTCAACAGTTATTTGTTATGGTCTGATACAGTGGTGGTCAATGCTTCACAGTCAAGGGGAATTGTCAGTCTGAACATGTCTTTCATTGCATATAACCTTTATTAAGGAAAGAGGCCACATACTTTCTTCATAAGTCCAAGCCTCTGAGAATTTTATCCTGCCAACTCTGGGGGGATCCAAGATGTTGGTGGAGGAGGTGAAAGAAACACTCATCTTCTCCAAGGACCAAACTGGATTTACAACTAAATTATAAAAAAATCATCTTGAATGACCAACTGAACACTAGTTGGAGAGAGGCCTTAAACCAAGGACTTACAGAAGAAACCACTTCACCACATTGAGACTGGTAGGAAGTGAGGAGGAGTGAAAGTGCTGGCTGGGCTCACACAGGCAGTGTCTGAAGTTCCAGAGGGATATTTCAGTGGCAGAGGGGTTCCACCTGAGAAGTGTGGGGATTAATTCTCAAGCAAGACTCCCCACCTAGAGCACCAGAACCAGGAGTGGAACCCAAATATCATCTGGCTGTGAAAAGCAGTGGAGTTTCTGACCACCAGAGAGAGACAGCTAGAGACACAGAGAGTCCCTTAAAGGGCCAATGCACAAAATTTCATATGCTTCCACTTACCTCCCTGGGCTCTGGCAGAGGGAGGGCAGAGAAGACCAGAGCCACATGAGGAGAGTCTGGGGTTGGTGGTTCTGGGGAGAGAGCTGGGGGATTGGCTGCCAGGATCACTGTGCTGAGTCACTTCCCATACTACAGAATCCATATTTCTAAAGCAGAGCACTCCTCTCCAAGTGGCATCAACCTGAGAGGAAGTAATAGCCCCACCCACAGGTATCCATCTTGCCCACCCTGTGGAGCTTAAGCCAAGATGCTGAAGAGTACAGGTGAAGGCGCTTGCAGTGATTAAGCCTAACAGAGTCTACAAAGGCAGATCTCTGAGACCTTTGAGACTTTAGCTGACCTTCCACCAGACCCATTGCTGGTAAAAGCTGGCCTTAGTGTCCAGCTTGGTTCTTTCTGTACATAAACAGGCTCAGCAGAGGAGCCACAGCTGTGGTTTGCTGACAGCTCCAAACAGGTTGCCCAGGGCCAGTCGCAGCAGTATCCGACAAAGGTTTGCCCCAGAGTCTTTGCACATCTACCTAATACATACAAATAAACACAAAGAGCAGCCATAATGGGAAGAAGAGAGGCAGACCCCACATGAAAGCACAACAAAATTCTCCAGAAGAACAACTAAATGAAATGGAAGCAAATAGATCAGATATGGAGTTTAAAGTAATGATTATAAGGGTACTCAACCATATGAGAAAAGAAAGCATTAAAAAGGATTGAAGAATCCAGTCAGAATTAAAGAATGAAATATCTGAAATAAACAGTGCACTGGAAGGAATAAACATCAGATAAGATGAAGCAGAGGAATGAATCATTGATTTGGAAGACAAAGTAGAAAAAAACACCAATGCAGAGCAGCAAAAAGAAAAAAGCCAGGCAGTGAAAGACAAATACCATATGATCTCACCTTTAACTGGAATCTAATCAACAAAACGAACAAGCAAGCAAAATATAACCAAAGACATTGAAATGGGAACAGGTTGACAGTGATGAGAGGAGAGAGGGGAGGGGATAATGGGAGAAAAGGGTGAAGGGTTTACAGGAACAATTATAAAGGACACATGGACAATCACAAGGGGAGGTAGAAACTGAAGAAGGAGGTGGGGAGGGCTGGGGTGAGGAGAGGTGGAGGGAAAAGGCAGAAAACTACTTGAACATCAATAAAAAATATTTTTAAAATGAATTAAAAAATAAGGAGGGTTTAAGAAACCTTTGGAAAACATAAAGCATAACATCATCTACACCAGAAGAAGAGAGTGAGCAAGGGAATGAGAACCTATTTGAAGAAATGACAGCCTTGAGATCCAAGATGGTGGAGGAGTAAGTGGAAGCTATACTAACCTCCTCCCAGGACCAATCTGGATTTACAGCTAAATTGTAGAGAAATTATCCAGAATAAGCAACTGAATACTAGATGGATAGAAGCCTTAAAACCAGAGACAGACAGAAGAAACCACTTCACCACAATATGACTGGTAGGGAATACAGAGGAGGCATGAGAGAGCAGGCTGGGCTCCCACAGGCAGCAGCCAAAG